ACCTCAGGATTAAGTCATAAAATGAATTTCACAATTTTCTAGATATACAACTTTTTTCAATAAAATATGTCGAAAGCAAGTCTAAGTTCTTTTATCAAAGATAATCATATTGTTACAAAAAACATCAACCTTATTTTCTTCAATTTGTCTAAACTTTTTCATTTTTTTAATCGAAATTTTTTTTAACTCCCTAAAAAGCTCAATCAGAACAGTGTTAGCTGAGAAAAACTTCTCAACTTATCTCAATAATGTTTTGTTAGAGACCGGATTTAAGGTGTCACTGCCGTTCAAAGAGAAATATTAGTTTTTTTTGCAAAATCTAACGTAAGTAAAAAAATTTAAGATTTGCACATTACCAATTGAGTGGTAGGTAGATGCCTGTTTTTTCTCGAGATAGAAACATCGTATATTCATCTTTGGGAAAACTTACAGATATAAACGACTGCACCACTTTCTTCTTGTGTATTAATAAAAACGTGAGTAAGGAACACGCAGATGGGTGTTTTTTGAAGCCTCTCGTTTTAACTGGCAGTACATGACCTAACATACCGGTCGGTTTTTACTGGTCTGAAAATTTTTTTCAACCGGCCGGTCACCGATCGGATCAGACCGGTTTAAAGTTTGAACCGGCCGGACCGGACCGATTTGAAAATTCTGGACCGGTTACAACTCTGCCCTGATTGCGTTATGTTTCCGAAGAGAAAACCGGGCAAAACACGGTGAAATCAGTGTTTCAGCTACCTTAGTACACACTTTCTTTTTAAATGACTCTTTTATATCAAAAGTTGTTGTTTTTCACTTTTTTGTGACATATATGGACTGAGTTAATCTGCGAAAGAGATGTGTCTCAGAAGAAAACTTGTCCAGAAATCCGAGTGTGTAGCATTGTGACTAGCGAAAATAAGACCTATTTAGATAAGGGAACAGAAAATTGAATTTACTGTGTACATCCTCTGAGTTTACTACCTGACTCTCTATTAATGAGTGAGTTGCATTGGCATTGTATCGTTGCTGTTCACCGATTGTTTTGCTTATAAAAGTCGTTCTACGAAACAAAACTTAATATTTTTTTCTGGGTTTGTTTGTTTAAAGATGGTTATTCAGTACTGAAAAATAAAAGTTTCTATCTCATTTGGTTGTCGAGATATGAAGGAGACGGATTATCCTGTCTTCATAAATCCAGTTTCATAAATCAAAATTTTAGGAAAATTTTTACTAGTTTCATAAAATTTTTCATTTTTATGTAACTTGTGGGTTAAAAAAATCAACATCCAAGTTTCCAATCCAAGCTAAATTTTATCAAACTTGTTTCCAAGTTTCATAAATGTGTGATTTATGCTGTTGCAGGTTTAATTGATTAGTTTCTTAATTAATTGTAGTATTTTTTAGCACTAGGCAGATTCTCATCAGCATACATATATTACTTTTTATTATATTCTAGCTGTTTTTATGAGCGGCATAAAAACAGATCTCGCAGTTCTAAACTTCGAAGGACTTAAAAGGGAGTGAAAATTGCACTAACATCTTCCCTTCAGTGGGATTGTGTTGTTATTACATCACGAAATGTACTCAGCACGAGAAACGTTTTAGTCAAGACATATTATATCCTCGTCTTCATCATTACCAATAACCGCCACTTGTTCTTGTAGTTCTTTTAACTCTTGGCCATCAGTAATGAAAATATTCAATAGTCCATCTTCCGTTGTAGGTTGCTGCAAACATTTTAAACAGGTACTACCGAACTTGGTAGGGTGTGGTGTTTGTAACAACGGAGCGTCAGCCACATTCTCAATAAGATAATCACTATTGACGATATTCTTCATTGTTTGACGTTTTCTTATGTTAAAATTGGTCAGTTCGGTCAGCAATTTTCGTTTGAGTGTTGATGATGATTGTGGTTTATTTTCATTCGGAGGCGAAGATGATCGTTTGGGAAGGCATTTCTTCTTTCTAGATCGAGTTTTTTTCACTGTTGTTGTTGTAGTTATTGCTGTTTTCGATTTTATAATAGGTGAAGATGATTTTAGTTCATATTCGGCCTAAATATGAACAGCCATGGAAAAGATAGCACAATGATTTTTCAGTCAACCTCTGATCGAAAATTAGACGAGTTGGTATACACTTAAAAATAAATCAAAATTTTGGTTGCTCTTTTATCTGAATAGAAATGAATTATTCAACTATTAGAATCAAATTCCCTGTTTGTGATTTAATATATAATAATTGATAAAGGTCAACTTCCACAAAAGCCAATACACTCAACAAAAGTAATTGTACTAAAAAGTTTTACTATGAATCTTGAGAAGAAGGAACTTTTTATACTTATCTATCATGTGTAATTATTGTGAAATGCATTTTAAATCTAAGTACTGCGCTATAACTTTAGCCAAAAGTGTCAAGCAACAAAAAAGAAAAATGCCTATTGTATTTTTTGTGTACTTGTACTTCTGCCTACTTGTTCACGTAAGACTAACTATGCTTCAATCAACCTCCTATTTGCTACTCAAAAGTGAACGAAGAGTTCGTTTTTATTCATTCCAACCACAATTTTCAAAAATACTAGAAGAAACGAACATTATTCAGGTATGGTGTTGGTATCTCAATCTGAATTTATCTAAGTGTTGGTTTCACCTGTTGAGTTTGTATTAAATATTCAACATAACTTCGTTTTAATCTTTGTAAAACAACTTCACATTCTCTTAATGTGATGTTTTGTGGAACAGAATAATTTTGTACAAGTTTATTTAATCCAACATCTAAACAAAAAAACATTTTTCAATTTCAGCAGGGTTTCTTTAGGGTTCTTCTGTTTCCGGAAAAAAATCGCTATGAGCATTTTTTATTGCGCAGTAATGCTATCGGTACAGTGCTTATTTTCTCGAAAAATATTAAAACAATCAATATTGTGTCTGAGGAATCAATTTCATGTTTTATAATGTCAGATGGGTATCAACAATCGTAAAAGCTCGCGTTATTGTAAACAAACATTTATCCTTTACCTTTTTTATGTTTAAGTCTCAAAACATCTGGACGTTGTGAAGAATAAACCGATCTTCTTGAATTCTTCTCAGTCGGTCTTTTTGCTGGTTCATTGGGTATTTGTAAACTATCGATAACGCAATATTCTTCATAATGTTTCACAATCGATATCTTTTTCAAGTCTGTCACAACATACTGAATTAGTTCTCGAACGTCATATTTTTTCAAACTCAGTAGGCATAGAGGTATGGCTTCACCCTTTCCATTTGAGATTTTTTTTCGAGTTCGACGTCTGAGTGGAGTGATAGGTAATGTGACTGGAACGAGTGATACTAACGATGTTTCCATTGGTTTTTGTTGCTGCTTTAATTTCAGACCAAGAGCAGACATCAGACTTCGCACATCGTCATCTTCTTTCGGTGGTTGTTGTATGTTATTGTTATTATCATCTTTGGCTGTTGTTGTATTACATTTGATTTGAGACGGTAAACAAAGTACTGTTTGACAAACAGTGTCGCCCGTTTCGACACAACGCAACGTCATATTTTTATAGATAAAAGTTCACACTAACAAACAACAATAAGGTGTGCGGAGTATCTAGAAGAATTCTGTCAACAACAAGCACATAATGGGTAGAGAAAAAATGAGTGCATAGGAGACGTTTCTTTTCCAAAGAGAAGTATACTGTTTTCTTTGGGTAGTCGGTCGCATGAGAAAGTGTTACTTTGACAACTCATTTTGTTCTTGTTACTTGCAGAGAACGCATTATTTTATCGTTGTTTCGATAAAACTAAAATGAGAGTCCTCTATCATTCAAAAACTCTATCGCTGGATTGCTTTTCTCTTTCCAATATGTACTCAAAAAAACGCACGCTGACTGCCTGCTGAATTACGCAAAATGCGCTTATATGAAGTGCAACATAAATAATTGAATCATGAACGAAAAGAAAAAGAAGAAAGAATGAAAGACAACAACGATTTAACAGACGGATAAATAAGATTGGTCAGAATAATAATGCATTAGTGGGTTAGAAACGTACAAATACTGATGGACGCTTTCCCTGAAACACGTATTACGATACAGCTTTCAACCAAATAACAATATTGTTTAGGAGAGTACTTGAAAACGCCAGAAAAGTAGTAGTTACAGTTATAACTGCACTAATATATTTTCTTTTCTGTACAGAAAACTGTCATTAACTGCTCCTTAGCTGACTTATCAAATCTAAAACGAATCGAGCGTTATATCTTCAACCATATATTAATTAATGCTACCTAGGCTTCTAGTCAAAATATTTGTTATATACATTAACTAACACACGCATATAGAGATGTTAGCCGCGCCGCCGATGCAGCAAATTTTTTGACTACCCCCGCCAAAGGTCGAAATTTCTTTAGAAATAAACGCTACGTCCGCCGTCAATTGCAAATTTTTTGCCTTCTTCACGCCGACGAAAACGCTATCGGCTATCATCTCTCCACACATACACTCTTGTTCATCTACAACATATACGCGTAATTAGGTACAGTACAACACTGATGTGTCATCCAATTCATACGTTTGTGAGGATATGGATCCTCTAGTGGCATATGGCAGTCCCAAAATAAATCTAGCTTCATTTTCTAGAGCAGACAATCCTGCGTCGATTCATATGCAATACAACATTTTAAAACACGGACATGATGTACTTTTATATCAAATATTGGAGATAAGTATCGATTTC